AAAAAAAAAAAAAAAAAAAAAAGAGAGTAATGTTTCTAATGATTTCAACTCTCAATTTTTGTTCCAAATCAGAACCTACTCATTCTAGGTTCCAAGAACCAGTATCATTTGAAATCGGAATCAAAATCGAATCAATCGATTCTAATAATTTAGATTCTTTTATCCAGTCCCGATTTAAAGGTTCAAAATTTGAAGGGTCAATTGATTCGTAACACAAATCTTCGAATCTGGTTCATTAAATGAATGGATATATTAAAATTATAAAAGAATGTACCTCTAAGATTGAATATATCCTCGTATATTTGGATGGAGGGATTATCCTATTGTTGTTCCCTGTTCAAGTAGCACCAGTCTTGGATGGAGACATAATAGATTCAAGAGGGCCAAGTTGTGGATATTTTAATTTGTTGGGACGGCTGACCTAACGCAAATTCAGGTCAGGTGATGTGGATGTGTTACAAGTGCAACTGCAACATGATATCGACTCGTACACAATAGAATACTTTAGTGGTCCCTATAACCTATTTAATAAAACATTAACATTGTTGTTATCCCCCCCTTATCCATTTTTTGTCTTATAATCAATCAATCAATCAACCTTATCTCATCTCTACATGCTCAGGTTTTTGTTTTTATTTTTAATTTATCCGGGGTAATTGTGCAAAGCTCGTCTACTTTTGTTTCTATTGCGGAATACTAGATAGGAAAGCCTAAAAATAAAAACTCTTCCCTCTATTAAGAAAATTTTAGAATATAAACTATGGCTTATAGCGAGAATGGAAGAACCAATTTTTTTTTTTGGGTGAGACAATTATGGAAAAAAGCAATCTGATTGGAGTTCTATTTGAAAATAACAAGTGAAACCTCTTGCAAACAGCGTTTTCTAAAATTTTCAAAATGATGTGAACAGATGCTATGACTATAAATGAAACAATCTGCTTTAATAATCAATTTCGCAAGATATTGCGGATAGCCCATAATTTTCGCCCACAAAAGTCTAATCTAATTTTCTTTCTTTTTTTTAATCATTTTAAATTTAATCTCTCCTAAACAGGGCCTAAAATTTTCAAAATGATGTGAAAAGATGCTATGACTATAAATGAAACAATCTGCTTTAATAATCAATTTCGCAAGATATTGCTGATAGCCCATAATTTTCGCGCACAAAAGTCTAATCTAATTTTCTTTCTTTTTTTTAATCATTTTTTTTTGGCCATTTTCTGGTGCAGGTAGACCTGTCTCTATCGCCGTCTAACTTAGACCCTATTTGATGGTAGAAAAAAACGATATTTTAAATAGTGACTTTTTTGAAAATGTGTGGTTAAAAATTAGGAAAAAGTTTTGAATTTACGTGTAAAATATTTTATTGTATAAATATATTATTAAAAATGAGTATGAAAATTAAGAATTTTGTTTAAGAGAGACAAATTGGAGCTTACCCCCATTTGGCCCCATTAAAATTAATTCATTTTTCTTCTCTCTTCTTATCAACTACACATTCTACAATAAAATAATATTACAGAAACCAAAATTTTTTTACCTACTCATTCTTTAAAAAAAAATATTCTAAAAATTATAATCAAATAATGGGGGTCAAACTGTGACTTATTAATAATTCAATAATGTCAAGACGCTAATTTTTAAATATTGATAACTCTTCCTCAGTAAAAAAAAAACAACCATATAGATTACTATTCAATAATTTTTTAAAGAATAATCATTTCTAGAATCTGCTTAAGCACTAATGTAGGTGACTACATTTTATAAATTCAATTAAAGGAGTCACGTGACTTTACAATCAAATGAATCTGTCATTTAATGTATGTAATTATCACATAAATTGGTACGTAACGCTAATGGTGTTGAACAACATTACTTAAAAAATGTGACTTTACATTCAAGCGAATCTATCATTTGATGTCATGTAATTATCACATAAATTGGTATGTAATGCGAATGGTGTTGAACAACGTTTCTTCAAATGCAGTGGATATCTACTGTTCTAATAGCATGACTTTTATGATGTTACTCGTCTTATGAAATTCAACAGCATTACTTCAAATACAATGCATATCTACTGTTCTACTAGCATGACTCTTTGATTTTACTCGTCTCATGTGATGATGCATGTGAAGACACATGCACATGGCGGCCACTCTTTTGGTCATGATCCCTTCGTGAATACCATTACTATGTGCCAGTGGCAACTTACAAGTGTGCTTTATCCAAGGACTCCCTCCCCAATATAAAATAACTTAAAAAAGCTGCACATATCGGAGTGCTAAAAATTGGGTTTATTAATTGAAAGCTGGCTCACATTTGAACTGAAATCCCTAGTCTTTTGATTTTCCCCTTTGCTCTGATTTTGTAGGGCTGAACCCTCTTCAAGAAATATCTCAATTCAGGTTAGTTTGTTCGGTCTTAAGTTAGTAATGAATCTTGTATATTTTGAGTTTTTTGCATGAAAAAAAGCAGTTATTTTATGTGGGTTTCTTGTATATTGAAGAAAATAATCTTAGATGTTTTGGAAAATGATTAATGGTTCGAAAACTCGTTGTTTGAGGTTCTTGATATGGAGATGGGTCACTGATAAAGACAGGGTCTCCAAGTAAATTGAAAGAACCTCTAAGGAATTTGTAGATTTAAGCAAGCAAGCATGCTAAAATATACTGTAGCAGTATAAGTTCTATTTACTTCCTTTTTTTTTTTTTTGGTTCTTTTTCTGTATATAACATTTTTGAAATCTGAATTCTCTGGCCAAACTTTGATTTCATTGGTCAACCTTGCAAGCAATGCATTAAAAATTGGTTTGTGTACATGGTATGATTAATCTGCAGTGTCTTTGTGTGTAGAAGAGCTACTCTGTTCACTAATCTTTGAGCAGAACAGCTGCTGAGTTAACTAGACAATCTTTAATGTTAGCGAACTTCTTTCATTTTAGGCAATATGCAAGGAGGAATTCGATCGATCTTCTCACATGGGAGTGTACTCAAGAATGCTGTTCTGCAACACGCGCGTTTGGTGAATCCAGCCATGCGGTCTCTTCTGTTTGCTCGTCATGAGTCAGCTCAAGCTGCCAGTATTGAAGAGAATGGTTTTGAAAGCACCACGATTTCTGACGTTCTGAAAACCAAGGGAAAAAGTGACGATGGGTCCTGGCTTTGGTGCACAACAGATGACTCTGTGTATGATGCTGTGAAGTCAGTATGTACCATTGACAATTGATTCAATAGAAGCTTTCATTTGAGTTCCACTAAATTCATATATTCTCTTATTACTATATTTGATCCATTGGTTTGTCAACATGAGTAGAATCTAACATGATGATCCTGAAATTATCAACTGCAGATGACACAGCACAATGTTGGAGCATTGGTTGTTGTTAAACCTGGGGAACAAAGGTCAATTGCTGGGATTATTACTGAAAGAGGTAAAGTTTAAATTCTTCAGTTGCCGGTATTATTACTGAAAGATGTAAAGTTTAAATTCTTGGGTTCAAATTGAGAATCTTTAGATCATAGGTCAGAACATGTAATTGCCCTTGTATAGCTATTTTTAAACTGTTGATCCCACCAAGTTTTTTCTTAATAAGATTAGATTTTTTGTATGGTATATACCTATACTCCCTGGGGAAGTAATGAAGTGTTGTACTACAACCTTTTATCCTTCTAAAGAGCTCAAAAAATGCTAATTGTCCTTGTTCAATGCCTGTATTCTTGTACATATTTGTTGTGAGAACGAAAAATATGGAGATCCACAAAAAAACTGTAGATGGTAGATCGAAGAGGTTTTTTGTACTTACTGAGTCTATAATGTATTCTTTAATGCTCGAGAGTTGCATTTGTTAAAGCATTTCTATCGTCTTCAAGAATTTTGATTACAAGGTTGTTTGATTAATCACAAACGATAAATGACCAAACTTCTCAAATTTTACCTTGATTCAGAATTAATTCAGTACGTTACAGTTTCTACAAACTAAGCCTCCGCTTGGGAAGAATTTATAAATAGATAGAAATGAGTGGTGCATATTAAGATAGTACCGGTGGGTTCATTGTAATGTGTGATTGAAAATGAAGTTTGATGCCCCTGTTGAGTCACATTCTCATTTTCAACCGCACATTCTTCAATAAAATAATATTTTTCATCACATCAATAATTTTTCCTTCTTTTCCAACCACATATTCACCATCACATCACAAAAAAATGCATTCTTTCCATTTTAATATGCATCAAACACACTTATAAATGATTTAAAAGTTTGCCAAACGGATTATAAGCTGAAATAAGGCCCCTCAGACTTACTTACCTAGGAACTTATATAGCACTGGAGGAAGCATCTTTGGTCTATGCAAGTGCCGATTCCCACAATTTTGTTTTGATAACGAATTCTAAATGTTTTCTCAGATTACCTAAGGAAAATAATCGTGCAAGGAAGATCATCAAAGTCGACTAATGTTGGGGATATTATGACTGAAGAGGTATACCCAACTAGTTTCTTCAAGAATATCTCTGAAATTTAGTACTTTCACTTCCTAATTAATGTTCTTATGGTCTTTCTTATGTCGACTGAAAAAATGTGATACTGTGAACTCGTATGGTCGGCTATTGTAGAACAAGCTTATCACGGTAACACCAGATACCAAAGTTATAAAGGCAATGCAACTAATGACAGGTATACCTTCCACTTATGCAAAAAAGTAGTGAATCAAATTACAGCAGTTGCAATTGAATATTGGTGGTAAGGAAAAATTAGGATGCAGTTTTCAACCCTGTTTGCAGATAACCGTATCAGACACATTCCGGTGATTAATGACAGTGATATGATCGGCATGGTTTCCATTGGAGATGTGGTTCGTGCTGTGGTGAGTGAGTATCGGGAGGAGTTGAACCGCTTGAACGCCTTTATACAGGGAGGATACTGAGTGGTAATGACGATAAAAGCAGACTGACCAGATAAACGCGTTCAGTCTGAAAAACTCGAATTCTGTAAATATTGTGTGGTGTGTGTCTCCTGGATTGTCTGTCATGTTATTATCCTCAAGAAGATGAAACCTGTCGTCTGGAATAAAATGCACTCTTAACAATGTTTGTTAATGTTTATTGCGTATTCACCTGCTTGTGTTGTGATAATCGTTTTTTTCTTGAAAATTATATGGGGTAGATCATTTATGAATGGTTGAAAAAGTTATTGCGTATCTTTCAATCCATGAAATCGGTATTTTTTTTTTCATTGTTTCTTCGAATTTTCTTTTAATTTTACTCTCTAAAACAATAATTTAACAAAATAAATCTAATTATATGCAAAAAAATTGCTCGCAGATAAAAAAATTACAAAAATTAAAATATTATTTATAAGCAAAAAATAATTTATGAGTAAGAAGTATACTTATGATTAAAAAATTACTTAAAATTAAAAATTCACTTTTATGTAAAATATTGTTCATATAAAGTAGAAATATTGCTAATAAATAGAAAAAGTTATGAGTAAAAAAAATTACTCGAGTAAAAATTAGCTACATACTAAATTAAATTATATGTAAAAAAAAAACTACTTATATATAAAACACCATTAATGGGAAAAAAAAATTCATACAAGAAATATGAATTGAAATTTTTACTAAATGATGTACACATACTCGTATGATTTGCGTTGTCGGAAAAGGGATCAACAATCTTCCTTTAGGACCTTCCTTTATATATATATATATATAATTTTATTTTATTTTTTAAATTAGAAACACTGGATAATAAATTTCTCAAGTTCAGGTCCTTCAATTGCTTGAATTTTCTGAGAAATGAAGTCATAGACAAATAAGTTAAGGGCCAAACGGACTAATCCATACCCATTATCTTCTGGGTGGAATTGCCACGACATTGACGTTCTTTTAGTAAGAATTATTGTAGTACGATAATGGCTAGGAGAATTAGAAGGCATTATGTATGATTTGGAAGGTTTTACTCAAAACCATTCTTGAATTGTGAGGTACAATTCTATATCTCGTTTTAGCTTTATCCTTTCCATCCCTTTTTTCAATACAAATCGAATATCTTGCACATATTTGCAAATGATTCGTTCAACCTGCCTTCAAAATGAAAGATAGCCCTTTAGTAAAGAGAAAGAGCACGGCTCTTCAGCTTTGGTCAGTCTTGGTCTCAAAAGCTTGTACAAAGACTTGTAAGCATAGGTTGGATTGTGTTAAAAAATGGCTATTAAAAATCAATCCCAATACAGACCTTCGTAAACGCTCAAAATCGATACTTTAAAAAATCTCATCATAATCTATACCCCAAAACTCCCAAATAGGTCCTTAGTCTTTAAATCACGTTCTTAAAATAAAATAAAGTAGATATTTTGTCAATTTAAGTAAGAAAAAAGATTACCGTGAAAGTAATATCACCAAGGGGTTGTTCGATAAAAAAAAAAATTAGTTGATTTTGATTAAAGTTTGTATTGTTGAAAAATTAATAAAGTTTGTATATTTCACATAGTTTGTAATTAAAATTAATTATTGATTTATTTAATAAATTTTCATGCTATTTCGAATAAGCTCCAAGTTATAGAGAAAAAAAAAGAGACTTGATTATTGAGTAATGCTGCTTAGTTTCATTGTGATTGCAGTTCCAATCTAGATAATGTCACATTGTAGCCACCTAAACTGAGGTTGCAATCCAGGGGAGCTGCATAGCATTAATTGTTAAAACAAATTTTCAATAACAGTGGGTCCCGCATGTTTATATGTCCTCTTAATTCCAATTGATGAACAATAACTAGTGATAATTACCAAGGGAGACTGAGGTTTGCGGTGGGGGCCTGCCTGCTAGCCATTATATCTCTACCGACGTCAAATTATCAAAAAAATGTGGTATAAAATCAGCATTTAGTGCTTGATTGAGATAACTTTAAAAGCAGTTGAAAATTTAAGGTCAAAGTTCATAATTAATTTTAATTACAATTATATGTTTGTCTTATTTGGACCTCTAAACTTGACTAATTAATGTAAATATCTTAACTGTAAGAAAAATTCCAAATTGGATGCAATTGGTGTGAAGAATGGCCTTTGAGCTTAATTGGAGTAATCGAGGATCATCCGAATTGCATAAAATCAATATGAAGCGAATAGATTTCACAAGTTTTGGAAGTTAAATACGACATTTGAAAAGTTCGGGACTCAATTAAAAACTCTCGAAAATCGAAGCAGATGAATTACAAATGATTGTAGATGATAATGATCTATTTGTAAAGAAATAAAAAGATGAAAGACCAAAGATACAAATAGAAAAAAAATATGAACTATAAAATTTATTATGACAATCATTTTAAAGTCAGAGGGGGATGAGATATACTGCTTTGTTTTACATGATATTATGAGTGTTCTTGTGATTCAATGCATTTTCGTATATTTGTATATTTAATTAAGTACTCAATTTTCGTAAAAACTTGGATTCATATTCACTTTAATATTTGTTATGATGTCGTTCACTCTCAAAATTTTAATACAACAAACGCTTTTTATGGAACCCACTCAAGTTTTCAACAATACATTTAATCAATCTTTATCAAAATTTACTACAACTTCTCAAAAACCTTCGTCAGAGAACCCAAAAACTCTTAGGGACACATTTATTGTCTTAAATACAAGAATTCGACTAGAATGAGTAAAAGATAATGGTTGTTCTTATTCTTATCTTAAGACAAGAATTCGACGAGGATGAAGAAAATATAGTAATTGTTCTTATTCGATTAATTCTTTCTTGACTATTCAGCCATCTATTTGTATTATTTTTCATTTTATTGGATGTTTTTGTTCCAAAAATGTACTTTGAAATAGTGATTTGATGGAGAATGTGTGATTAAAAAATGAGAAAAAATTTTAAATTTGTGTGTAATATTGTTTTATTGAAGAATGTGTGATTGAAAATAAGTGAGCAAAATATATTTTAAGGGTATGTTTGAGCCACATTATTTTGGAATAATGTATTTTAGAAGATCAATGCTGCTGGTACATAGACGTGTACATAAGCGTGTACATAATGTGAGTGGGGGTGGGGCCTACGCTACAGTGTCGTGGGCTCCACCACACTCACATTATGTACACACCTATGTACAAGTAGATTAATCCATTTTAGATTATTGAAAAATGTGTTATTGAAAATGAGTAAAAGAACGATAATGAAAATTTTATCGTAACTCAAAAGAGGCTTCAAGCCTTCAACTTCAAATGTGCTATTTGTTATCTTAATCAAAAAGTTTGTCGGTAGGCATTCAAAAGAAGAACCGAATGTACAAGAATAGTCCTTTTCACATTGCTCCAGTACGAGAAAGGAGACCCACCACCGTCTAAATTGAGGTTAATAAATTCAAATAGCTGCCATGGACTTACTAATTCGAGACAAAATAAACAAGGGTTTTGCTATTCGTCTAGGGCTCACGTGGACCCTGGACGAACAGGGGGCGCCACTATTGACTGGGTTCCAGAGTGAAAGGGCCCACATGACCTTGTCACTCTAGCAAAACCCAATAAATAACGTACAATTCACAGTATTCACGTCACTCAAATTAAATTCGACCAACAATGAAATTAAATTCAAATTCATTTATTCATTTACATTTTGACCAATTTAATTGTTTTCCCTCCTGTTATGAAAGTAGAAGATAAATACAAGTTAATAAAATAATTAGGTCAGTCTTATTGCTTGTCATAGGTCAGATCGTCTCCCTTAAAATTTAAATTAACGTTCAACATTCTTTGTAAAACTTCCATATTCTTGATTGAATAATATATTTGACTACTTCACCTAATTTTCTTAATTCTTCACTTGTCGAGCCGGTTTGTTTTGGACTCGTGGACCGACTTGTTTATTTTCTTTAATTGTTGTCATTTTATATATATATAAAAAAAACACAATATTTTATTCGTATATAATTTTAATTCCTTCTACAATAAAGGTCCCAAGCCTGAGAAAAGGAAGATGGTGTCAAATTTCTCTTACCGTATTTCATTGTAATTTTTTTTAATTTATTTGATTAGTTTCTTTAAAAAACGAGTCGAATCATGGCTCGTGGACTGTTCGGTTCGACCATTGAGGCCAACGAACCAAATGACTCAATCGAACCTATTTTGTCGACACAGAGTCCAACTAAATTCATCCATAGAATGGAATCGAGCTGGTTCGGCCATTTTCAACCCCACTCAATTAGTAATAATTATTTATAACAATTTAGCCATACGAGGAAACTACGTAAAATTTAAATTATTTTTTACAGCACCTAATGAAAAAGAATAATTTGGAGCATATTTGTTTGCTTCAAGGAGTCAAAACTCTTGTACAAACGCAGCCTTTCAATTTCAGGTGCCCACTCATCAGTTTCTGATCTCTTCTGAATTCTCACGACTTCTAGAATTGAATTGATTTTACATGTATATGTACAGAGATAGAGACGAACCCATAAATACCTTTGACCTTCCCTGTAAAACTGTTCTGCTACCTCTTTGAGCTGTCAATACTTACTGAAACTTTGCCCTGGTAACATAAATTCAGTATTGTTTTAACCTTGTAATTCTATACACACACACAGACAAATTCCTTTATGGGCCCTTTTTATTTTTCTCGATTATAGTTTGTAGTTTATTGATTTGGTTTGTTTTCTACATAATCTCGTAGGAACTGTGTGCAGAGTAGTGGGTGTGAAGTATGGAAGCATCAATTGGGTTAATAGATACTGCGGGGCATGCTTCTGGAAGCAAAGAATTGCTCTGGTCGGCTTCTATTTTTGCTGGGATCATCATGTGCAAAACTGTGAGTATGATTTATGAATTCCTTTTTTGTTGCACTAAACTCTTCGCTGTGTTTATATTATGCGTGTGAAATTCCATTCCTCGCCCTTGCGAAAATTCACATGAAATGGAAACAGGATTCTTACTTGTCCCCATAGAGTTTTGTATAGTAAAAGGAATTTCATTGGGGGTGATTTGGTACGGAAACTGAAGAGGTAAAATGATTTTTGATGTTAGGCAGCAATTTGTCAAATGCAAAAATTTGTGGCACTCAATTTTAGCTACATTGCACCCTATCTGTTTGTTGAAAGTTTGGGTTGAGGAGAGGGGGGAGATTGTGGTAGGTTTATCTGGGAAATGTTTGAGGGTTAATAATTACTCCTACAGGCGCGTTTTTTAAGGGCGAGAATGCACAATTTCAACATATTACATCCACTAGCATCACCTTCTAACCTTCTTCTTCCAACTAAGAAAAGAAGCGTCAATTCAAAGGGAAATCTACTACATCAGACGAAGATCTACTCCGACTATACAAGAGTGGCCCAGAATTCAGGCCTAACAAGTGTAAGATTGAAACTGAATCTGGAGATCAACTACTACCTTACGTCAAGCTGCTTGCTTAGCCTGTGTATGATGAAACCTCTGATCCAAGGGAGCACTTGGAACGAATTGATATTGTCATGTTGCTGTATGACATTTCTGATTCCATCACGTGTATGATTTTCTTGACCACACTAAAAAGTCCCTCAACCATGGTTTTTCCAACTCCCCCGCCAGGCAATCAGTAGATTTGAAGTTATTAGCAACCATTTCCTCGTGCACTTTGCCGGTGCTAGCAATATTGTAAGACATTTGGGTAGCTAAGTGCAAGGGAAGAAGAAAGGAAGCCCTATGCAATTACATCCAAAGATTCAACAAATAGGCTTTGGATGTTCTAGATTTCAACTCGAAATTGCTGTCAGCCATGTTGACCAATGTATTAAGGCGAGGCTGGTTTTTCATCTTTCAGATCGATCTCCACCTACAGATGTGACATGGGCTTGAAAATGCTTTCAGCCTAGCAGATAAGCATGTAGAAAAAGCTGAGAAAACTTTTGTATGATCAGAACAAAAGAAACTAGGAGTACTTCAAAGCACACTTAAAAAGATTGTGCAACATAACAAATATATGCCGTTACTGAGCAGAGACATCTTTGCTTAAGAGCCTATGGAATTGTGCGGGGTTGACCCGACTGTGACATCCCATCACTTCTATGACGACCCATAGAAAAGGCCAATCAAATAGAAGATAAGGGTTATATGGCCAGAAAGGCCAAAGACATTGGAGCAAAAAGTTGATAAGCTATTGGAAGCAAACCATGCATTTGAGGGCATGTATCATGAATGGTTTGCTAATGTGGTCCTTGTGCCAAAGGATTGAAGAGCATAGACTATGTATAGGCCTCATCAATTTGAGGGTGAATGCTTAAAAAGGCTACAATCACATGAGGAGGAGATATAGAATGGAACAACCCTTGGAGGAGGCAAGACGCAGCCCAACTCATTGCGAAGTGGCAAGGGTCACCACGTGGTGGGGTTGGCGAAGGACTCCCTGAAGGGGCCAAACAATGGCCTACCTCATGACTCGGTGATATGCAAATTTGGCCCCCACAGGTTGATACCTCCAGAAGGTACTATTTGGAGGTCAAAGGGGGATCCAGTTGTGGGGAATCCCATCTGCACGGTGGCCTTCCGAGGTTGTTCATAAATCTGTTCCCTAGTTAGGGGTTGAGGGCTGACTCTGTTATGGGTTGTTGTGATCCTTAATTTGGTTACATGTCATCCTTTTATGCACTTATTTTTTAAAAATATTTTCACACTTCTATTGATGCTGAATGAAAAATTGCATTTGGAAAATCTTTTGACTCTTCAGCATACGTTTGTAATTTCTGATACCTTACCTTTTGAAGATGCCCCATTTTTCTGTTGAAGGTTTATGAATTAACAGGTGTGGTTAGCCCTATATTATTCAAGGGATACAGCAAACTCGACAACAAGGTGAAACTTGAATGGAACAACCGGTAATTTGTTTTTCTCATGTGCATCTATGCTTTTTATTAAATTATTAGTCCCCTGGTTTACTTACACCTTTCTTATCTAGACTAATGATGTTTTTGTAATCGCAGAGGGTTCTCTACTGTTCATGCCATTATTGTGGCGGCTGGTTCTCTATATCTCTTGCTTGCATCAAATCTATTTGATGAATCTGACGATGAGTTGATTGTCAATAGAACATCAACTTTGTCAGACACCATACTGGGGGTATGTTAATATTCCAACAGCAACGTCTTGAAGTTATTTTGGAATAATTAATATTTATTTTATTAATTTTGTATCTTATTGTTATTATCAAATATTCATGATGCTTAATCATCGACTAAAGAGAGTATTTCCTTAAACTTCAAATTTTGCTCATTTTCTTGACAAAACTAATACTGAAAATTCAGTGCCCCCTTAACTTATGGCGTAATGACGTTTAAATGAAGACCACCTAGAAGTTCTTTTATACCATTTTATGGGAAATTAAAACAATTAATTTTACACTTCTTGGGACCTTTGTTTATCATATATATTGAGGAATACATCCAATTTGATTCTTTTTTATTTATTTATTATTTTTTTTAAATAATGATGCAGGTATCCATTGGTTACTTTCTAACGGACTTGGCAATGATTATTTATAACTTTCCAGCATTAGGTGGCATGGAGTATGTAAGTACAGTGAAACACAATACTTTAACCTGCTATGTTGTTATGGTATTAGGAAGAAGTTAGACTTATTTGACCTGGTAATGAATCCTGATTATAATTTACACCTATTTTTTCATTTTGATTGTCTAGATACTTTCTTGCCTATTTATTCTGTATACTTGGGAGAAATTAGAATTACGGGATTGTGTGTCTTTCTTCCTGAACATGTTTAGGATTCAGGTTCTTGCTTCATCATTGGTGTTACTTGGAGTTTTTGAGTTCTAAATAAATATTATTTTTCAACTAGGGTGGCGTGTCCGCGTCCGACACTCCTCGAACTTTCTACAATGGTCATTTTTCATTCTTTATCAGAAATATTATATATTTTTAATTCAAAGTAGTTATTAAATAACAAATAGGTACTCATATTTAAAATAATTCAATTAGAAAAAACAAATAGGTACTCATATTTAAAATAATTCAATTAGAAAAATTAATAATAAGTATAAAATTAAATTTATACTATATAAATGAAGAATTTTTATAATTTAATAATCAACGCGTTGATGATAAATTGTTGTTAGTAGTTTTGTGAAAAATTGCATGTCAACGTGTCCGACACAGACTTTTTTCCCACGTTATATTTATTTTTAAATTCAGATTATTTTTTCAATTTTAAAAATTATAAAATTAGCATAATATTCAATTATTGTATTTTTTAAATGTAAATAATGTCTTGAGTAATCTCCATGTAAATGGAAAAATCATTTGTTAGGTTTTGCACCATGGACTCTCTATGTACTCAATTATTCAATCACTTTTGAGCGGTCAAGCACTGATTTACATACTGATGGTTCTCTTTTCCGAGAGCACAACTCCCTTTGTTAATCTAAGATGGTAAGCCGAAACTGATGAAATCATCTATTTTCTTTCCCTTTCCCATCTCTTTGCGTCCAATATTTACACTGTTAGATATGTGCAGGTATCTTGATGTTGCTAGTCAGAAGTCGTCTAAACTGTACATCTTCAATGGTGTGGCTTTGTTCTTGGGGTGGCTGGTATGGTAATTCTATTCTAGTTCAGAATATGTTTTTCTTCTTGTTTGTTGGCTGCAAGATGTTGTTAATGTTTGGTATATGTGGTGCATGTTGACAATTGAAAATGATCAGTTAAGCACATGCGAACATTTCTTCGTGTTATCCTATTTTTTAATCACATAACATATAAATTTGGGGTCCTTCTACTGACTGCCGATGGTTTTGAATGAACCTAACCATCTTCTTGTGGTTTTACAAACCTTGTATATTACTCCATGGTTTGCGAATGCGCTGGAGGTAATTTGCACAGTTTTTAAAACCGGTGGAGGTGATTATGTTGTTTTGAAAACTGTGAGGGCATAATTGGCAATTTACCCTTAGAATATCAGCCACCCAATCCTCTATATATTATCCAAATTGAAAAAGAGTATTTTTGTTCTCTCCCCCAAGAAGAAGTATATTGTATTTTTAAATTATTGCATCTCCTCTCGAGTGTTAAGAGCTGTAATTTTTTTGTAAGCGTGAATATAAAATATTTGCTTCTGTATTTTAGAGCCTTAAATCACATTATGGCACATTGAATTTTGATCTTCAGGTAGCGAGGATTCTTTTGTTTGTCTACTATTTCTACCACATGTTTATCCATTTTGATCAGGTGAGTAAGTTGTCTGATTAATTCTATGAGGCAGACCTATAATGTAGACCAGAGTTTGCTTTTCCAATTATTAAATTTAAAAGATTTGATGACATTTTTGGACGACCAGAAGATTCTAATTTGACATAGTACCAAGCTTGATGTCCTGGTCAAATTAAGATTACTATCAGCCCTTATCCATGTTTTTAATTTCAACAATCCACCATAGTTTGGAATTTCTGTCATCTATAAAATGTGTTGATATGACATGTTACATGGACCCTACATGGACCCTGTACTTGTGTCTACATGGGTATGTATACAAGTGCATTCAGTATTCACAAACTTCTACACTTCTATGCACAAAATGCTTAAAATAGAAAGATTCATCATTCACCCTTGCCAACCATGGAGTGTTCAACACAGGCACTTGAATGTAGGATAAAATAATCCATTTTATATAAGCGTCAGTGTAAAAAAGTAATTGGCAAGACTGCACAAGAATTTAGCGCCCGTTTGGGCCACCTTATTTTCTCATTAAAATGAAAAATATGACCGTTATCTATCACATCAACATTTAAATTCAAATTTTCTCTCTTGTGTGGGGCCCAATATCGACTATATTTTTCATTCTCATTCTATAAAAAGGTGGCTCAAACAAGGTCTTAGCCTTTTTTCTTTCTTCACATACGTTGTAGTGCCAAGTCTACCTTACCAGACATGCTACCATAAACGAAGAGCAAGTGTGAACCAAGCCTCTTGAAGCCACAAATGCAGCTTAAACATTGAAGTGCAACAAAACACAGAGAACCAGTACCTTTGTCAAGACAAATATATAGCTCTTAAATTTCAACACATAACGATCAACACTTCTGTTCCTTTATTTATTTTATTTTTCCCAGGTCAAGGAAGTCTACCCTTTGGGCTTCTACAGCTTGCTTGCTGTACCCCCGGTGTTGACATTAATGAACTTATTCTGGTTCTGGAAAATAGCGAGAGGCTTGGTCAAAACCTTGAAGAAGGCAAGACACAATGAGTAGTAGTCATAGTACTTAGTAGAATCACTGCTTTTGAATTTCACATCAAGGTACAATAATTTTTTGTCACGCTTCTAATTCTTCACTGACTGACAAGTATAATGTGGTAAGGCATGCTTTTTATCATTTGGCTTAGCTTGCAAATTAAACTTACTATTGGGTGCCGTACGGTGGTATGAATTCATGTTATGTCTGAAACAAACAAAACCACTCTATTAATGAAAAAGTAGTGGTAGTTTCAACGTTGTTGGGGGTAGCTTGTGCTATTTTCATCTGGTTCCTGCATTCAATCTTTGGCCTCAAAACCCGATGAAGGGAGATGCAACCGCTTTTTTCAAAAGTAATTGCTATTAGGAGAAACACAATCAAAGTCTTTTATCACCCAGAATAACATTTGAGAATCCACTTAATTATTGTTCAACCAGCTTACCAAACATGACATCATGTAATTGTAGCTTTTGGACGATGATTAAAATTTTCCATGGGATCAGACTGCGGCTCATCGAGGAGGTTGTAACTGTTGCTGCTGCTGCTAGATTTTTAGCAAAAAATTGAATGATGTTAAAAAGGGGAATAATTTAACTTAATCCATGGGCAGAGTTTGTGGACTGTCTTGTGAAATTAGATTCATTGAATGTGTTCAGTTTACTAACTAGTTTTGATGGTGAGTTTTATCCAATAAAGAACTTGTTGATATCCATTAGTGTGAGGAATATTGGAAGAATAAGATATAAGAATTGGGAAATAGGTATTAAAGAAAAATGCCGATATAATACCCACAATTCCCCTTGCAGTTTTGCATTTTCCATTCTCTTTCCATTTTTCTTCTTTTTGTTCCAACAGGCTTTGACATTTTTAATCTTGTGACTTCCATCAAGTTCCAAATTTTGTAGCGGTCTTATGTCTAAACAACTTAAAGCACTTTGATTGCTCCCTTCAGCATCTGAGGTTTTAATGGCAGAAATTAAAACCTTCTCTACAACTTCCAGAAAATGCATTAGGGAAATATATTCGAGCCACTATTTGTTAGATACATCACATTTTAACTGCAATGAAGATCCCCAATTTTGATTCTTTTGCACTTATATCTTTGATTTTTTGCATAGCATTTTTATCGATAACCTTCAATTAATTAGCACAACTAGGAGTGACAATGGGTTGAATTGAGCTGCTCGGCCCTTGAAATGTGTGGACATGAGCTGAGCATGAGTTGGCTCATTATTTTTATTTAAGAACTAATATTATAAGCCAAAAACGAGTCAAAAAACAAGGCGATTGATGAGCTGAAAATGAGTCAGTTCGGCTCGACCTATAATTTGTCTTAATACGAGTTCGAGCAGCCTATTGGCCGAGTTGAGACGAGACAAGGGACTCGATCCATTTGCAACCCCTAAACACATTTGATCTCTTATGATGTTTTCTATTCAAATATTCCACTTATTTTTCTTATTTAGAAAAAGAGAAGCAAATAACTTTTTTATACCCTCCTAATGAATATTTGGAACAAAATCATCGTAAAAAAATGATCTACAAATTCATAGAATATTGAGGATAAGAAAGTGACAAAAAAATTTGTGACATAAGCGTGAAAGTGAACAAAAGTTAAGGACGTTAATTACAAGTAGTTAACAAAAATCGTGTTGTGAATATAATTATCCAAATGTACTATAGTTTTTGCACTTCTTCCCTAACGAATTTGCTGGGCCGGTCCATGATTCATAAAAAGGGTTCTACCTTAGTACTAGAGGATATGCAGATGCTTATACTTCGTCCATCTCTATCCATTGTTAAGAGGCTAACCTTGGTAGCATTTGCTGGATTGAATTACAAACTTCATATTTCCAGCATTTCAAATAACGAGCTCAGCAATTTAATGCTTAGGTGTCATAGTACGATTGGACAAGTATCAAATTAGTGCTCAGGTGTCATTGTATGATTGGAGAAGCATCTGAAAGGCATGCCAAAGAGGATAAGAAACAGTTGATGGAAACACCATCTCAATGGTGTTTAAATAAATAAATAAATCTCTTTTCCATCAACTTATGGTTTTCAATGTGACACCTCAACATCGTATTAGCATGCAAAGGTTATAGGTTCAACTCTTGACATAACCTCTTATGAAAATTGTGCTTGTGTTGGACCAACGATGAAAAATGATTCAGGCTGGCACATCAAGTGAGGTATTGAAGACAAAATTCGAATAAATAAATATATCTCGACTTAACGTTTCAACATCACCATTACTCGGATGTGAACAATTAATCAGGCTAATATATAAATCATAACCGAGGTCTGAGCATTATTCAATTACTAAGCCCCTGTTTGTTAAAAATTAAAATCATATTTTTAATAAATTTTGATAAAAGTTGTTGAAATGTGTAGTTGAAAAGTTGTACACCTGATTTATTATAATTTCTCATATAATTATCCAAATGTACTATAGTTTTTGCACTTCTTCCCTAACGAATTTGCTGGGCCGGTCCATGATTCATAAAAAGGGTTCTACCTTAACCAGAGGATATGCAGATGCTTATACTTCGTCCATCTCTATTCATTGTTAAGAGGCTAACCTTGGTAGCATTTGCTGGGTTGAATTACAAACTTCATATTTCCAGCATTTCAAATAACGAGCTCAGCAATTTAATGCTTAGGTGTCATAGTACTATTGGACAAGTATCAAATTAATGCTCAGGTGTCATTGTATGATTGGAGAAGCATCTGAAAGGCTTGCCAAAGAGGATAAGAAACAGTTGATGGAAACAGCATCTCAATGGTGTTTAAATAAATAAATAAATCTCTTTTCCATCAACTTATGGTTTTCAATGTGACAGCTCAACATCGTATTAGCATGCAAAGGTTATAGGTTCAACTCTTGACATAACCTCTTATGAAAATTGTGCTAGTGTTGGACCAACAATGAAAAATGATTCAGGCTGGCACATCAAGTGAGGTATTGAAGACAAAATTCGAATAAATAAATATATCTCGACTTCACGTTTCAACATCACCATTACTCGGATGTGAACAATTACTCAGGCTAATATATAAATCATAACCGAGGTCTGAGCATTATTCAATTACTAAGCCCCTGTTTGGTAAAAATTAAAATCATATTTTTAATAAATTTTGATAAAAGTTGATGAAATGTGTAGTTGAAAAGTTGTGGATTCTATGAAACATGTGATTAAAATTAATTGTTGATTTTGACTTAGATTTTAATCAGATTTTTAGCGGTACCAAACAGGTACTAAATGTATAGAGAAAAATTAAATGGTTAATAACTAATAATGAAACAAATACCACAAGATTAACAATGCAATATTTGATTAGAATTTAGAGCAGCTGTTCAACTGACGTCCTCAATATGGAAAAGTCATGAGCAATCAAAAAGGCATGTTCATGGAAATGTATAGAGTAAAAGGTTCTAAGAATTTCTTTAACACATTGAACAGACTTTCTCTTAGGAATTTCTTTTAACGTACTGAACAGACTTGCTAAAATGAATCAATCACAGTTACACAAGCTCAATGTAAGCCATTGGTGCATTGTCCCCTCGCCTTGGTAGAGTCCTGATTATCCTTGTATATCCTCCATTTCTGTCCCCATATCTCTCTTCGACCTCGGCAAACAAAGCATGCACAATCTCCTTTTCATAGATAAAGCCGAGAGCTTGCCTTCTCTTATGTAGAGAACCATCCTTAGCCAGAGTGACCATTTTGTCTACATACTTTCTCATTGCACTGGCCCTTGCTCTTGTAGTCTTTATGCGGCCATGCTTCAGGAGTTGACTTGTCAGACCCCGCAGAAGAGCTCGACGCTGGTCAGGGGGCCTATTAAGTTTTGGCACTCTCTTCCCATGCCTCATGGCAAAGAATCGTCCTCCATTGTCAATCACAGTAAAACAATGCTCAAAACTGGTTGAATCTGCAAGAAATATTGTCATAATATTTAATCTTACGGATCACTATTACGAAGAAAAACCATCAGTGCATATTTTGTATTGAATTGAATGCTGCTGACAGCATAAAAAACAAGAGTTTAGCTGCTTTTTCTTCCTTAACATATATATACTACTATGCAATCCTCCATATCAAACACGTGTAAGTACTACTATACAATCCACCCTAGAAAACATATTATAAAAGTACTTACATTCTAACAATTGTTACAGTATTCTATCTTAAATCGCCTCTTTTTCATATTTTAAACAAGCGTAACAATAGAAGTGGCAATTCTCTTCGTCTTTTCTTTTCTTTTTGCAAAGTGGTCTATGCTTATCTTCTATGTGCATCCTTCCTCCAGCCATTGATTAAGAAATGGGTTTGTCCTTGAATTGAATTTGAAGAAATGAGGTCAAGCAGATGGATAACTAATGGCATGGGCTTGTGCACATTGTATACGTGCATGTTCTATCTAAAGGCCATCACACTTGCCAGTAACCTCACTTGAAATTCAATGAGAGCCAAGCTTCTCCATGGGGCGTGGATAGGTAGACGCAAGCACTAGAAAGAAAAGTTCCCTTTCCAAACCCGTAGTCCCAACTACAAACCCTAGAGGTCTGTCTTTCTGTTTGCAAGACTTCAAAATCTATACTCCATCGAGAAAACCACAATATGCATCATTCCATCTTACCACATTTCCCACAGTAATTTTCTTAAAAACACCGTTTCCTCAGTAAGATTCTATCTCGTTCTGTTATCAGCAAAGAAGTCAAAACTCAGTCCTTTAAAAATATGCTTGAATCAATTACATCATTTGAGAATGCTATTCAATATAATGCACATATTTTCACAGCAACAAAAAGAACGAAAACAGCATACTAATAAGAACCATATCCACAAGAACCATGCATATTATAACAATACAAATCCAGGCTATTCTTTTAAAGCATCTTTAATCTATAAAAGAGGAATTGGACCCTGTTGCATCAAGCTTGCCAAACGAAATTTTTTAAAAAAATATCATCAATTACCACCGGAAAATGATACCAAATAAGAAGCATAAAGGCAACGCAACAGCAGTAAGAACAACCATAAAAACGGTCTAAAACAGTAAAACCTCATTACCCGTGACAAGCCAATTATCAGACATACAACATCAATAACACACAAACATTCATTAACAAAAGCGATACAAAAGCCCACGTGAATACGGAACAGAATTGAAGGGGAAAACTGTACCTGGTGATGAGAGAGAGAGAAGGGGATGAATAGGGGCGAGACCCACAAAAGAGTTAAGAAATCTTAAGCTAGGTTTTGGCCTGGAAAGCTTGAAACGAGAAGAAGAGGGCCCAGTTGAGAAATGAACTGAACAGGCTGAAGAAGGGGCCTGAATTGAAGGTAGGGCTGATCTCAGAGACGACATATTCCATGTTACGGATGCCGAAGTGCTAGCACAAGCCATTTTTGCACTTTCTTGCTCTGCCTCACCCAATTCTGCGTTCTTGCCTATGGCTATGGAGAGGATAGAGGGGATGGGTTTTGCGTCTTTTTCATGGATAATTTAATATCATAGCCCCTATATTTGCTTTGAATTGTTTTAACCGCAAAGAAATTCCAAATCTCTAATATGAACCCCTATGAGTTATAAATAGTTTTTCCAATTCTAAAAAGCCTTCGTCCGTCATCCACTTGTGTGAAAGTTTCACGTTGATCACTCTTCTTCCTTTGTTCCAAAATTGTCACTCAAATTCAATTTTCATTTTAATTAAGTCATGTCGTCCATTTCTACCCATGAAGTTCAACGAAATGAACAAGGACAATGCTATCGAGCACCGCTAATGCTACACTAATCTAGTTGGGACTAAGTGATAGATTTAATTAAAGGTAGAAATATACAATTCATTTAATTAGATCTATTATTTAATGTCACGTAAATTGGTGTTGTAACATTACCGATGCTAGACCACCAACCTAAATGACAACATATAATAGATGATCATGTCTCGTAGTATCTGAAAGAATCCATCTTTTAAATTCAATATATATGGTCACTAACGAAAAATCAAACGTGAGTAAGCGTATAGTTGATTTGCTAAGATATATGTGTGTTAATGCACTACTTTTCTTTTGGAATAATATATCCGTAAGTGTAGCATTGCTCTTTCTTCTTAGTTAGGAAAGAATGGTTCTTTGTTTATTTCAAATTCACGAAAAGGGCACACGTAGAAATTACGATTATGGATGTCACTTCAGCATAAGAAACAAGCAAGAGTAACATTCAACAAACTCGTTGAATATGAAACATACCTAGAACAAAATCATATGAATGTCTAATAGAGTGCAAGTACATTCATAGTCTGAACATTGAATTGATCGCTTGCAAAAAAACTGAAATAAAAAGACATTCAACCTCGTGCAAAGTTGTTTCCTTAGATATGAACTTTATTACTTTGTTAGCATTGTTTTTCTAGAATTGTTTATTCTAAATAGTTTGGGATGGGTATTTTTTTTTTCTTGAAAACGGTGGAATCGGACCGGAACAAGATAAAACCGGTTAGTTCGACTCTGGTTCCTCAAATAAATGGTTGATTTTGGGACTTGTATGGTTCTCGGTATAGCCTTGAGAAATAGTGGTTAATTCAATTCTTCTGGATTTATCTTTTTATTTTGTACATTGCATCAAAATGTACCAGATCTTTGAACACTAAATTTTCAACGTTATTTCACGTCAAAAATTTCATTTTTAATATGCTTCTTATTCTTTCATTTGCAGCAAAATCCAATTGTTAATCAAAATTCAAATCTAACCCATAACTTTAATGCAGTCCAATAGGGAAAGAAAAGTTAGCTTAATATTTAATAAAAACTCTAATTTCTATTTGTTTCAAAAGTGACCGACGATCAAGAATCAAAATCCTTGAGAATTATTAAAAATAATCTATTATAAATACTACAAGTATTTTTAATTTATATTGTTGTATGAATTTTTTTAAAAATTAATTTTCGATCCAATTTTTGCTGTTTATGCTGTATTTAATAATTTATCATTTTTCTACCTTAATGAGTTAATTTTGAGCTTTGCAATGATTTTTTGTTTGTTGACCTGTTTAATTGATTTTTTTGTATTGTTAGACTATAAGAATGACAAGTGATATCAAACTATATTTTTATCCATTTTCAATTGATAAGTAGTTTCATATTTTATTTTTATCATTTTTTAATATAAAGAATCGGATCGGACCAAACCAAAATTGATTGGTTCGCTTTCGGTTCGATTCTATAATTAAATATGGAACCAATAGTTCCATTTATAAGAATTTCATTGGTATTCGGTTCGATTCGATTAAGTTCCCGAATCCAACTGAACTAGATCTCGCTCAGTCCTCCTAAATAATTCGTTATAACTGTTTAGTACTCAAGGCGCCACACATGATGACACTTGAAAATATTGTTGGGATATGTATTCAAAAGTATTAAAACTTTATTGTAATAAGATAAAAATTTCGAATTGTTAGTGAATAAATAATAAGATATTATTTATTTCTATAAAAGAGAGTTGCATTATTTTGAGCATGTCTACAAAGCATTTGATTAATGAGTAAAATATATAACACTGTATTGCACCCAATTCTAATTAATTAATGTTCACAGGTGTTTGCTAAAATTACAAACCGAAAGTGTATAGGTCACATTTAAGTAATAAAGTGAACGATGAGTTCGAGTCGATCCATAGAGGATGTTTACTTTTAATTACACTACTCTTGCCATTTTAATCCTAACAATTAAAAAACACACAATATAAATTTAAATTTTGGGAATAAAAGAAGAATAAGTTGAAATTCGATTCAAGACACACCACATTACAAATTTAGGAAAGTTTTGAAAATTAAATAGATAGGATTCATGATTTCACTTAGCCGCCGCTTAATTAAATTATCAATATGCAAATTAATAAACTACTCATTAATCATGTTAGACCCAATTTTCTTTTTTTCTTTTGCTAATTACATTTCTCGAGCGAAATCACCCCTAATTGGTTGTTTTAATCAACTATATCTCTATATCAATTAAAACTCAACAAACTGCATTAAATCTCTGTGAAAATAACTCAATGAGTTACTTAGTATTAGAGGTATATCTTTATCCCCTACAAAAACCTAGTGCATTTATTATTCCGGTCTAAAATGTAGTACAATTTTTTCAATAATTGCACAGATCACTCAACACAAACATTTATTGGCCAAATATTTATAAGACATTAAATACAACAATAAATGCACATAATAATAAATATTTTGACATTAAAAACAAACATTAAAATTAATCAAGCTAGGTTAAGTTTCCTCATTCACCCCAACACCAAAAGATTTAGCCAATTGTATATAAATAGCACAAAATAGAGAAATTAGAAAAAATACATTGTAAATGTATGGAAAATAAGAGAAGAAATACAAGACAATAAATAAAATCCGACCCTTGGCCGGATTTTTTAAGGTTGATATCGCTTGGTCTTGTTTTCTCTCAAAAATCTCTTTACTTTTGTTTGATTTTTCTTCATCATTTTTCGCAGGTTTGAATGGGCGTGTAGAGAATCCCTAAAATTGGCTGAAAAATAGTATATAGGCGTGTTCGATCTAGCTTAAAATTTAATTAAAATTGAAAATATAGTCGTTATTAGGTCCCACTAGTCTAATAAAAGTCAACAATAACGACTAATTTTTCAATTTTAATTCGATTTTAATCTCTACCGAACACGCCTGTAGATGAACTAAAAAGTGACATGATACTTTTTAAAAGTTTTATACCTTANATAAGATGAGCACCGGTGCTCATTAAATCATTTCTGTATATATATATGCCCAAAAAAGCCCCCTAGAAAAAATACAAAAAATGCCCCTTAATTTTTTATTTAAAACAAATTGGTCCCAACCGAAATGGCAGGCGAAAAACTCCCTGTTAATGTTTGGCTTAGTCCGCGTGCGGGTGCCAAATTTGGATATAATTTTGCAGCTTCAGTCTTCCAATATTTGAGCATCAATTCCTCAACTTTGATCTTGTACATTTTAGTCCTCGAATTTTAACTTTTATTTCAATTATGCCCTCCATAAATTTCATCACAGATCCTTCAACTTTTGGAACTTATGCACTTTGATCCCCAAATTTATTTTTTGTACGTTTTTGTCCTTTTATCTTCTTTTTGCCTTGTTCTCTTTCAATTAGGGGTTTTCAACACAAAAGACAAAAATTATTGTGGAAAAGGTATTTTTTTAAAAATTATTGTGGAAAAAAAAATGTAAAGTTATTATTTTATCCTTTTAAAATTGGTTAAAATGTGGTTAAATCATTAACTTTTGATCAACTAACAGAATTGTCCTTATGTCTTTCTGTCATACACAAGTTAAAAAGTTTGGGATTTTGGTTGCAACAAATGAAATGTTAGGGTAAAGGTTACAAAATTTTGAAAGATTTGAAATGACAATTGTAATTATTCCTAAATTACAATGTTGTTACAATCAAGCTTGAGAATTTTTATGACCAAAACTTGAACCATCCAAGGAATATTTTATTATTTTCCTACAAATTCACTATCAGTAATTCAAATTTCATTTTTTTGATAAATAATTTTATATCAAGTTACAGAGTATATTGAGTTACTCAAATAAAGTAAATATTCATAAATATAATAATATAATCATCTCAAGATTGAGAGGGAAATAAATTAGATGTAATATAGTAATTGCCATAGATATCAGGAAGGTTCAGCTTTTAAAAGATACAACATAGAGTTAAGTCTCAGTGTTTAAGATCACTTTCGGACAGTTATTGGTTTCACTGGTCTCTTGAATTCAGGTCTCTTCAATCTTAATGACGATGGAGCTGCACAAACATGTTAAGAGTATGGAATTAGACGTCGAAAATTCATTCATTGACATAACTCTTGAAGTATTTAAGAGACATTATTATCATAAAGAGTGATCATGGTAAAAATTGTAAGAGCAGTGTATATCCACCCTCTATGGATGTAATGCCAAACTTAAATTTTTTTGGCGAATTGGAAGTATTTTTCAAAAACTTCATCAAGAACTTGTCATAGTTGAAAGTTGTATAAACTCGTTCCAATTGACATATATTTGGGTTTATTTACTTGTTGAGGATTTTTTTTGTTTTTTACATAAATGTTATTAACGCTGACTAATAAATGCTACGAAAAGATTATTATGTGAGAAACGATAAAGAATCAGAGAATACTACCTGCGGTTTCGGTTAATATACAACCGAAGTCAATCTCTTCAAAGTCTAGCTTTTGAGAATCCTCTTCATATTTCTTCCCAAAAACCCGAAATAAATCAAAACGGCTCCCTGTTCAATTTACCACAAAAAAAAAAAAAAAAAATTATTATTAAAGGCCTCTTTGAACCCTATTTTTGGTGTAGAATACATTTTGGAATAGTAGATTGATAG